AGACCATAAAGAAAGATTACGAAGGACATTTTATACTGATTAAAGGAGTGATACAAGATGAGGATATTACACTTGTTAATATATATGCACCCAATATAAGAGCACCTAAGTACATAGAACAATTACTAACAGAGATAAAGGGGGATATTGATGGGAATACAATAATAGTTGAAGATTTTAACACCACATTAACATCACTAGGCAGATCTTCCATACAGAAATTAAATAAGGCTACAGAGAAATGCAATAATACAATAGAAAAACTTAGATTTGGTAGAAATTTTCAGAGGATTACACCCCCAAAAAATAAGATATAAATTCTTTTCAAGTGCACATGGAACTTTTTATAATACTGATCATGTACTTGGGCAGAAAAGAAACCTCAACAATTTTAAGAAGATAGAAAATATCTCAATCATCTTTATTGACCACAATGCCATGAAACTAGAAATCAACAACAGAGAAACAAAGGAGAAAAAGAGGAAAGCATGGATATTAAACAATATGTTATTAAAAAACCAATGAGGCAATGAGGAAATCAAAGCTGAAATTAAAAAATGTCTTGAGACAAATGAAAATGAAAGCACAATCACACAAAATTTATGGGACACATGAAAGGCAGTGCTAGAGAGGGAAGTTTATAATGATACAGGCCTTCCTCAAAAAAGAACAACTCAAATAAACAATTTAACCCACCAGCTGAAAGAACTAGAAAAAGAAGAACAGAAAACCCCAAAGGGCAGCAGAAGGAAGGAAATTACAAATATTAGGGAGGAAATAAATAAAATAGAGATTAAGAAAACCATAGAAAAAATCAATGAAACCAAAGCTGATTGTTTGAAAAAGGAAATAAAGTTGACAAACCTCTGACCAAACTACAAAGAAGAAAACAGGGAGAGCACAATTTAGCAAATAAGAAAGGAAAATGGTGAAATTACAACTAATAAAATAGAAATACAGAATATCATATGAGAATATTGTGAAAAACTGTATGGAGTGAAACTGGATAACTCAGAGGAGATGCACAAGTTTCTGGAAACATACAGTCCACCAAGACTGAATCAAGAAGGAACTGACCACGTGAACAAACTGATCATTAGAAATCAAATTGAAATAGCAATAAAAAACATCCCTATAAATAAAAGACCAGGACCAGACAGCTTACTGAGGAATTCTACCAAACATACAAAGAAGAACTCATACCAGTCCTTCTCAAACTCTTCCAGACGATTGAAAAGGAGGGAACACTCCCAAAGTCATTCTATGAAGCCACCACCACCCTGATACCAAAACCAGGCAAAGACACTATGAAAAAAGAGACTTATAGACCAATATCACTGATGAACATAGATGATAAAATCCTCACCAAAATATTAGCAAATAGAATCCAACAACACATAAAACAGATTATACATCATGACCAAGTGAGGTTCATTCCAGGGACACAAGGGTGGTTCAACATATGCAAATCAATAAATGTAATACATCACATCAACAAGAGAAAGGACAAAAATCACATGACCATCTCAATAGATGCAGAGAAAGCATTTGATAAAATTCAACATCCATTTATGATAAAAATTCTCACTAAAGTGTGTATAGAGGGAACATATCTCAACATCATAAAAGCTATATATGACAAACCTACAGCTATCATAGAACTCAATGGTGAAAAATTCAAAAGCTTCCCACTGAAATCTGGGACAAGACAAGGATGCCCACTATCACCAATCCTATTCAACATAGTCTTGGAAGACCTAGACACAGCAGTCAGGCAAGAGAGGGAAAAAAAAGGGGATCCCAAATTGG